TTTGGAAATTTATATACGAATTTATTTGTTAAGATAATTACTATATTAACTTGCACATCCCGTGTGTGTGTACACGCGCTCTTTGAATGTAAGTAACTATTTGTTTACGGATTTTTTTACTGTCAGAATAGACAAACTCATTCTTATATGAGTGTGTGTTGATTTAACAGTTAAGGACGGTGAGATAGAATGCGCAGAAATTTTCAAATGTTGGAGCTTCGTCTAGCGGCTCTTCGAATTATAAAAAACCGTCCTTTGTATGGTAATACGAAAAAAAAAAAAAAAAAAAAAANAAAAAAAAAAAAAAAACAGTGAACATTGTGAATTGTGAACTTACCAACAGATAAAAGAGGCAAATACCAATAGTTTGCTGTGAGTATTTTGATATAAATTAGCTTCAAATTTAGGATGAGATCTCAAAGTATATAATAATAATAGTAGTAGTAGTAGATGATTTGGGCATCAGACTTTCAAGAACTGAACAGGCCTGCTATCTTAATGGACCGGATTGGGCCATTTAGTAAAGCTATGACCTATCAGGCCCAACATTCATGGAAAAAAAAAAGGAAAATAATTAAAAAGTGAAAAATGGTCTCAAAATCTCTGCTCATCAGCAGTTCTATCCTGGGGACTTCATTTTCCTCTCCAAATTCTCATGAATTTCTCGTGCTTCCATTGCTAGAGAGAGGCTATGGCGGTTCGCGTCATGAACGGTCGGACGCTATTCCGCTGCTGCGCGGTGTCGCCGCCGCTCCCCGCCGTTCGGTGCTGCCAGCGCCGCCATAAGTCCGCTCGGTGCCGCTCCTTGGACCGCCTATTCATTTCCCGGCGGATTCAGTGTCGGCTCGCGTCCTACGGATATGGAATTATCCCGGTCCGTCAATACTCAGCCCAGAGCTTGGTGGATATGGTGATGGGGGAGCTCGAGTCGCTGCGCAAGCGTGTCAGAGTTCGCGCCTCGAACAAGTATGTAAAGGTTCTGCGACTGCACAGCTCGCGGTTTATGCGTTTTCCCTTTTTTTGTATAGTTATTACAAATTGAGCACTACGTTTGTACCTACTATTTTTCTATTAGTGAAATTTTGAAAAAAAAATGGATGAGCATTGCGTGATATGGGCTGTGGAAATTTATTCTGAGCAAAGTATTTGGAGTTGTGAAGGAAATGAGTTGAAGTGGCCTTATGTTCTGAGTAATTGCCTCATTTTGTTGATCTCCTGAGATATTTGAGGTCTTGTGATGGAACTTATAATATTTTCCAGAGCAGCATAGAATGGCTAAGCAGTAAATTCAATTTTCGCGTCAATTAGAGATTCTGATGCATCATGATGTATGTATTGAAATTTGAACATAGAAATGTATTTAGAGTGTCAAGGAATTTTTTTGTTTTTACATTTTATTTTCTGATTGGTAAAGAGAAATCGATTAAGTAAATTCAAAGTTGTGAAGGTGCTGAAAAGGACCAAACACTGTCAGGTAGTGTTGTGAAGGTGTCTTTGAAGCTAAAGAGTAAAGACTGAGGGTATTATATAATAATTGTGTGGTGAGACTCTTTACTGTGTAATGTGGATAATATATATTGCCACTAAGGCTGCTGAAATGTATACAAATTTATCAATATTTGAGATAAAGTGCTGGAGAGCTACTTGGAAAAGTGACGATCCTGATAACTCAAATGGTGGATTAGTTATCTATGTTTGATATCATCCTAATTAGATGTACAATGGCATAATATGATTTTTTTTTTTGTCGTTTGCCTTTTCAGATTAGAACTGAATATCAGTGAAGAGATACTTGAAAGTAAGGTTGGAAAACTGGCATTGAAGAAAGGGTTGCTGCTGGAATTCCGGAAAGATCCAGAGAGGTTGCTGCTGGCTGTTGTTGAGAAACCCGATGGCAAGAAGAATTGGTTTGTTACAGATCAGGTAATGTCTTATGTTTGCATTTTAAGCACTCTAAGGTTCTGGTCACTCAGTTGTACTTTTCTGGTTTTTCTGATTATGCAGAACGGAAACATGGCATCTATTAAGCCACAACAAATTACTTTCATTGTTCCTGGTGTCGAGAACTTTGACCAAACAGAGATATCAACCTTTGTTCAGAAAGCTCAAGATAATTTGGTCTGTTGTCCTTGCAGTTCTGACTTAATGGAAATTGAATTGAAATCTACTAGCAATCTCTAGAAAAGCTTGCATTTTGCTTTCAGGACCTTGCACTGCTTGAGTTTGCGTGGGTTGAGCTTCTTGAGAAGAACAAGTCTACTACTGTGGAGGAGCTTGCTGAGGTATACCTTTCAAATACTCGCTTTTGTTGATCGATATTCACTCAATGACAGTCAACTTCATTCCGACAGATGATTTTTGGTAGCGCGGAACCTCTTGAGAGCTACTGTGCTCATCTGTTGCTTACAAAAGATGAAGTATACTTCAGTACTCTGGAGACCAAAGGTCCATATTCTGTTTATGGACCTAGATCAGCTGCTCAGGTCCGTTACAGCTGCTTCCATGGGATTCTGTTGCTTACTGATAAATCTCCTTTTGGTTTCACTCAGATTTTATAGGTTATTTGTTTCTTTTCTTTTGGGGTTTTTTTAAAACTATTTTTCGGGTAATGATTACTCATGCCCATGTGGCACATCATCGTTCACATTAGCTTTTGAACTTTGTTAAAATCTGAAACATTTTATTTGATTTTCTAGGTTGAAGAGCTCACAAAAAGAAAGCATGCCAAAGAAGTTGCTGAGAAGGAGTTCGAAGAATTGGTTAACTTACTGAAATCTGCCAGGGATATGCCTCTGCATGCAAAACCCCCAAAATCCACATGGACTTCTGATGAGAAATTACAGAAGACGATTGAGTCTCTTCAAGCATATGCAATTGATGATTGTAGGAATGAAGATCAAAAGAAAACTGCTGGGCTGGTAACTTAATTAGCCTTTCATATCCATCCATGTTTAGTGTGCTTTACTTGAACTGTAGACAAGTGTAAAATGCAAGCATATCAAATTCTTTGCCAAGGGAGACTACATAATATCAATATGCTTTCAGCAACTTCACTAATTGCTCAGTTAAAGAAAAGAAAAAGAAAAAGGAAAGAGATATATACATGTTCATATCTTGCAATGCTAAACTGTCAACATAATCAGTAATACTTAATTATGGAAGATTCAATGATGACATTAGCTTGACCCTGCAGATTCTGAGGGCTATGGGACTTGCTAAAACAGCATCGGCAGCTTTGAATCTCCTCATAAATATTGGTTATTTCCCAGTGCACATAAATCTTGATTTATTGAAGTTAAACATCCGTACTGGCTTTCCGGAACAGATTATTGCAGCTGCAGAAAATCTTTTGTCCGAGTCGCCTGACATGGACGAGGTATGTCTGTCTTAGAACCTTAGGTAGATTTAACCATCTCACTTAGGTCCTTGAATATAAAATTGGTAATTTGCGGTCCCAAAAAATAAAATTAAGTAATGTGGAGCAAATATTGAAACTTGTCATATACCAGTTTCAACAAATTGTTACCTTTTGTGTGCCATCAGGTTGATAGAACAGATCTTACCCACCTAAAGGTTTATGCAATTGATGTTGATGAAGCTGATGAGGTACTCTTTTTTCATAAATCTTACCAACGCTTTTGCTAGTATGGTTTTGAGATTCCTGGATCTGGATTATATGCTTAAAGAGGCGCTTTTTGCAAATTCTAAAAAGACGGCATGTGCAGCTTGATGATGCATTGAGTGCAGTCAGGCTTCAGGATGGCCGAATAAAGGTCTGGATCCATGTTGCAGATCCAACTAGATTACTTCAGCCGGGGTGCATGATAGACAAGTATATGTGACGTTTATCTCAAAGCATATGTTTTAAAATTGACCTTGCCTGGCATTGTGTAATATATTTTAGTTTTATTCTTCAGAGAGGCAATGAAGAGAGGAACTTCTGTGTTTCTACCAACAGCTACTTATCCAATGTTCCCCGAGAGATTAGCCATGGAAGGCATGAGTTTGAAGCAAGGGGAGTTCTGCAAAGCTGTCTCGGTTTCTGTTGTACTGCATTCTGATGGCTGGTAAGTGGGCAAAATAAGTAAGCTTCGTTTATAATATATCATTGTAGGAGCCTACGTCTTTGGAAAAGCAATTTTGTGGATAAAGTTAACTCGCTGATGAGATCCATTGTGGGTTACCATATCATATCTTGGATTTTAACAGTTGGTCAAATTATGCTTGGTATTTTAAGTATAATAAGTATAATGGTTAATTTTTTTATCGGAGTGAATTTTGTTTAGATGGATTAAGGGGGACTTTGATAGTGTATTTTGGCGATGTTGGACATGGGAAATATATCAAGTGGGCGTTTTGGCCAGTCTAATATATTCTTCATTACAATACATACCGCACATTACATATTTATAGAAGAGAGTTGCGGTTCTCAATGCCATGTACAAAGCTAGAAAATGTTCTGAGATTATCCACTTCCATCGACCAATTTGAAAGCAAAAATATTTTTACTACATGAATTTTCTAGACTTCCTATTTAGCCTAAGCAAGCAACATTATTAACCTGTATTCTAGATTATTCTTCAAATGGCAGTGATGGTTATAGAAGTGAGGATTAATTTTAACGGTGTTTCACGTGTATTGATTGGCCATATTCATCTGTATGTAGATTTAAAGTCCCATTTTGTATTCTTCCTTTCCTTTTGCATGCTACCGTGGAATCTTGAAAATAGTCTTACTGCTATGTTTTTGTTTATAGCATTGCAGAGTACTCAGTAGAGAACTCTCTGATCAGGCCAACATATATGTTGACTTATGAGAGTGCAACAGAACTTCTCTATCTGAACCTGGAAGAAGAGGCTGAACTAAGACTGCTCTCGGAAGCTGCTGCACTTCGGCTTCAATGGCGTCAAGAACAGGTCAAAACTCCTATTCGGGTCAAATATATCCTATTCGGGTTAAACTCTTATTCTCACTTTGTAGTTTCTTATTCACATATTGTAGAATTTGGCATTTTAAGAAAGCACATCACTACTTCTCTACATGGGCTCAACCTGTCTGAGAAATGTTAATTAAAAAACTAGAGTTGAAGTCTTAGGTGTTAAACTTTTCAGTTTCATTGTGACCTAATCGCTGGCAAACTTGGGGGAGATGGATATGGATATCTGGCTTTGTATTGTGGAAATTAACTTGTTAGAGGAGGCAGTCCTGCATTGGTACCAATGACTGGCTAACTTTCTCAAATGTTATTAAATCAATTCTCTTTTCAGTACCTCTTAGTTACAAATTTGATTTGATTTACTGTATTCAAATCACAGCCCATCTAAAACTTGAACAGCGGCTAAGGCTTGGAATATGAAATAAAAGGAATTTTATCTCATTAACGAAATTTTCTTAATAAAGTATATTATTCACAAACGAATTTTTACGTACACATGACGTGAAATGCTTCGTGTAGGGTGCTGTAGATACATCCACAATAGAAGCTCGGATCAAGATAACCAATCCGGATGATCCAGAGCCCTCGATCAAGCTCTATGTGGAAAATCAGGCGGACCCTGCCATGCGACTTGTGTCAGAGATGATGATCCTCTGTGGCGAAGTCATGGCCACTTTTGGTTCTGCAAACAACATTCCTTTGCCTTACCGGGGTCAACCTCAGTCAAACATCGACACATCAGCTTTTTCCCATCTTCCTGAGGGCCCCGTGAGGAGTTCGGCTGTAGTCAGAATCATGAGGGCTGCCGAGATGGATTTCAGAAATCCCATACGGCACGGGATCTTGGGACTTCCTGGGTATGTACAGTTCACGTCCCCCATCCGGAGATATTTGGACCTCCTGGCTCACTATCAGGTACTCTTTTTTATTTATTTGTCGACACAAAGTATTTCTAAATTGTTCTGCAACAAATGATTAGCTCCTTAATTGTTCCTTGTGCAGCATATATTAATATTGATGACTCGAGAATTGATATTTTTGAAGGTTTATGCATGCATTTTGCAAAAACCTCCGACCTTATGTGTTCTGTCGTGCTTTTCTGGGGATCATAATTTACAGTATAACCCCCATAAACGATAAAAACCTAATTTTTTATTCCTAGAAAAGCACGACAGAACACAAAAGGTCAGAGTGTTTTTCCAAAATGCACATATAAACCTTCCAAAATATTCATCAATGTAAATCCTAAAAAAAAAAGGAAAATCTGAAAAAGAAATTTGAAAGAAAAAAGAATTCTAAAGAGACCTAGAAACCCCATAAAACCTAAAAGCAGGAACTCTGAAACTCAGTAAAATTTAGAAACAACAAAAGAAACCAAAAATCAGAAATAAGAACCCTAAAAACTGATAAAGTGGAACGAAAAGTTGATTTTTTGCCTGCTTGATGGAACACTTTCCGTTTTCCATGTACATTTGCAGGTGAAAGCTTTTCTTAGGGGGGATTCTCTTCCGTTCTCAGCCGGACGGCTTGAGGGTATAGCATCCTTGGTCAACGTGAACACTCGTGTAATAAAGAGGCTCAGCTCCACCAGCCTTCGTTATTGGATAATAGAGTACTTGAGACAGCAACCAAAGCACAAGACATTTTCCGCTTTGGTCCTCCGTTTCATCAAAGACCGAGTTGCAGCCATATTCTTGATGGAGGTCATAACTAAATGCCCATTACATTATTTCTTTTTTCTTTAATTATTATTATTATTATTATTATTATTATTATTATTATTATTATTATTATTATTATTATTATTATTGTTATTGTTGTTGTTATTATTATTATTATTATTATTATTATTATTATTATTATTTGAGAAAATAGTTATTTACACCCGGTTCTGAAGAATGAATGCTTTTCCTACCGTTGGATTAGTTAAACTTTTGCACCCTAGAAAGTGTGAAAGCATTATGCGACAATTGTGCTAATGACAATGTGCGAAAGTTAAAATGCGAAGGCATTTGCATAACCCTTCGCACTTTCTAATGTGAATGTGCGACAATTATGCGATTGAGATATGTGACAGTTATGCGAACCATTCGAATAACCTTCACATTTTCCGCGGTGAAAAGTTAGATTGTTAGCGGGCGAGGTGAAAAACTTAATATAACCTTCGGGGTGTAAAAGAGATTTGCCCTTATTATTTTTATTCATTGGTTTTTATATTTGCTATGTAGGTCGGGTTACAAGCTTCTGTGTGGGTATCTGGCGGTGTAAAAGTCGGAGATGAAGTGAAAGTTCGAGTGGAAAAGGCCCATCCACGAAACGACACAATTTCTTTTGTAGAGGCTGTGGTGACATAATACATAATATACGACTTTACTAACGTGGTGCGAGTTTCGTGCAAGGTAGCCTCTCGACTCCATACTAAGCTAAGCTCTATTGCTAATCACAATTTGAATTCTTCACGCGACAGAGTTTAATTTATAGGTTGGTTTTCTCGTTCGCTTGCTTGTATATACCAATTTTTCGAAACCGGTGCTTTTTTCCATATGAATATAGATAGTTGTACTGTTCAAGCCATGTACCAAATACATTATATTATTTAATATTTTTTTTAAAAAAAAAAACGCGATGTTTCTATTTTTGGGACTTAGAATTTCAGACCTGTAGAAAGTCAAAGCAGGTACGGAGACTGTTTTGTCTTTATGGGCCTGGAATGGAATAAATTCTGAGTCCCAAACGTGGCCTTATGGAAAAACAGCAGGCTTAATCTGCAACAAATGTAGTGTGGTTTTTTTGGGATGAGTTCACAAAATCTCAGCCGCACGTTTGGAATAAGATTTGATGGTCATGGGAAGAACATCTCAGAAGTTTTTCAGATTTTTCTATTAACGGATGGTTATAATAGCTTATTTAACTAGATTGTTCGAAAAGCTGATTGCATTAGCAGATAGCTTATAGAAGGTTCGTCATTAGCACATAGCTAATTATCTGGTGATATTGGATTGTATTAGCAAAATCGGACAAGCTGATTGTATTAGCAGTTTGTATGTTTTTGAAGCTAATTTTCTGGTGATTCTGAATTGTATTAGCAAAATCGGCCAAGCTCATCGCATTGGCAGTTTGTGCATTATTGAAATTTTGCTCGACGTTGTTTCAACTCTCGAAGAAACTCAATTAAAATGGTGGATTTTTTAGGGCAAAATTATGCAGAACAAATAATATGATTTTGGGTATGATTTCGCACTGTGTGTGGAAGAAAATGACCCAGCAACAGAATACATTTTAGTGACAATACAAAGAAAAAAGTTTTCTTTGAATAACACACACACCTATATAATGGTCCCTGAACATTAAAAAAAAAATAATAATAAAATAAAATAAAAAAAAATAAAAAAAATAAAAAATCAGTAAACCCACATGTTTTGTTGATAAATGAACCCACCACATGCATCTCTGACACATGAAATGAACCAATTTGGTATGCAGTCACATTACTGTGAATTCATTTACATTTTTTTTTTTACAATTTAGTTATGAGTATATATAATATATATATTTAAAATGCCAATGATAGTTTTTTTTTTATGAATTAATGCTATTTTTATTTCATTAAACATTTACTCCACCGAAAATATACAAATTTTATAATACTTAATTCTACTATATAAACAACATACATCTTTAGATTATAATATACATGAAATTAATTATTAGAATTAATAATAGGTCACTGGAGCAACCCATTGCTCATTTACTCAACTAATCTGTATCTTAAGCAAAACTCTTCATCTCTAAAATTATTTTTATAATTCCTCTCTTTTTTAAATAAATAAAATAAAATGAGATGATAGTAAAACATAGTCAACGATCATTAATTTGGGCCCAAAACCTAAAGTCATAAACAAACCAATAAACTATAAAACTAAGTATAAATTAATAATATGCGTTCATCTGGGTCAGAAATATATAATAATAAGAGTGATATTACAACTAAAAAAAAAATGAACACTTGCAATATTTGCATGTGAGTTTTGGATCCCTAAGAACATACGTACACTCCAAAAGTCAAAGACTTATACGGAAGTCAACTATTCTAACTAACTATTCATCGAATAAACTAATTGTCAACCCTTAAAAGTCAAAGTCAACCCTATGTATGTAAAATATATAAATGTGTTTTTATACAAATTTGGAAACTAAAAGTCAATTTTGAGCGTGATTGGTGCTAACCGGGTTTGTTGCTTCGTTTTGCAGCTTAATACTATCATGACAATAATGTTAGTTGCAGTTTGAACCAATTTGCATGATTAAACAATAATTGTTTGTAGTGATGTGGTTTGAGGAGCTTAACATACATTTTTCTTGATTAGTAGTAAATATAAAATTAAAAAATCAGTTTAAATGAAGAAACAAAATTCTAGTGCACGTCAGTCCAATGATTAAGCGAGTGAACTCGTCATACTTTTTAACGAAAATTGCATATTTGTATTGTGTAATGTCATACTTTTTGGTCAAGGTGTAATATTCGAGTGTGACGGTTTGCGT